TATCAGCTGTGTGATAGAACAGTCGTGTTACTGTTGTGATTAAACTTACCAATTACAATGCCTTTTAGGTGGAGCCTCTCAAAGGCCACCTTCCCATTTTGCCCTCGGCAAGGGCATTAGTCATGGCTCCTTTGAGGACCCGCCAAACCGTGTCCTTAACTGTGGACCCCCCCGCAAGGCCGAGTGTTGAACCCTAAAATTAGAAAAATTGATCTTCATTAATTTTTTAAACTAAGATTGATTTTCATTGAATTTTCAAACAAATATTATACAAACTTAGAGAAAAGCCTGGATAGCCATTGTGCTCCACTATTTATTTATTTGGCGTTTCATGGTTGCCTGATGAAGGGCAGAGGCCTGAAATGTGTGTGTGTGTGTGTGTGTGTGTGTGTGTGTGTGGGGGGGGGGGGGGGGGGGGGCAAATAATTGGGTGGTGCTCGTTGACTGCACAAGCAGTCCTTTAACTCCTTTGGCATTTCTACCACTTTAAGATATTGAACAACACATAAATTGGATGTGCATGCCAAAATGCATTGTCCAAAACTTTGTTGTAAAGAACAGAAAAAAGCTCACCAATTCATGGGCCAATGTTGGACTGATTTCTAGCTCCCTCTCCAGGGCCATCAGGGCCTGAACATCTGCCAAGGGGAAGATGCCGTGGTGCCTGGTCTCCACACTTCCCCCTGTGGTCAGGCCCTGAAGAGCAGCAACAGCAACAAAAAGGTCCTGCACCATTTTGGTTAGGCCGCGCCGCTGCTGAAGGATTATTTCCTGTTTCACCAGGACTTCATGCAGGAGAGCTGAAAAGCATTTCAGACACAAAGAAACAACATAGTTTAAGCATTTTTTGCATTTACATGTTGTGTGTGTGGCATTTTAATTAACCAAAAAGAGCACACGTCACCCCTCTGTTCATTGAGCTCCACTGGCTACCGCTAGCAGCACGCATCAAATTCAAATAGCTAACACTAGCATACAAAGTCCGAGATGGTACGGCTCCCATCTACCTGAATCCTCTTGCAAAGGCTTACGTCTCGGCTCGGTCGCTCCGGTCATCACAGGATTGTCGGCTAGCAGTGCCTACACCACGCTCAGGACAATCCAGACTCTTCTCATGCATCGTTCCACAAATGTGGAATGAACTTCCAAGCACTACCAGAACAGAGGCTTCCTTTTCAATTTTCAAGAAACTCCTGAAGACCCTGCTCTTCAGAGAGCATCTTCTTAACTAGCACCCGTCCCCCCTCTCTACTGTCCACTCCTTGTTCCCTCCTCTCCATGACTGATGTCAAGTTGTTGTTGTTGTTGTTGTTGTTGTTAGCCTCAAGGGCATTATGCCGATTATCACTTGTAAGTCGCTTTGGACAAAAGTGTCTGCTAAATACATAAACATAATTCTTTTCCATTCAGACTCTCTCTCTCTCTCTCTCTCTCTCTCTCTCTCTCTCTCTCTCTCTCTCTCTCTCTCTCTCTCTCTCTCTCTCTCTCTCTCTCTCTCTCTCTCTCTGTGTGTGTGTGTGTTTAGCTTTATAAACCATCTTATATTAGTATGTATGCGTGGATCATGTGTGTTTGTATACTGAAACTGGCATGTGAGGACTGGGTGAGTGTAAACCATAATAACCTTACATGTTGTGTCGTCCCTCTGCTGCCACTGCCCTGGAGAGGAGTTGGGGCAAACTGTAGGCACCTGGACAGCCGATTCCTCGCTCATCATCCCACCAGATGAAGAGGGAGTTGGAACTGGAACCCCCTGGGTTCCCTGGTGACCCTGCAGGTCAATGGCCTACCGCAATGATGTCCCCAGGGTCATGACATGCTGGAAGAGTGTGTAGAAGAGGGAGAGGAAGAAGAACAACAATTTACAAAATGCAATTATTGACCTCAACAGTGACATAATGGCTCCAGAATTGTTTTTCTCCAAACTGCCTGTAACTGCCTCATTAACCTTTGGAAATTTCCTAATGTATCACATATGAAACACCACACTTACATGATCAGCTACACTCAAACCCATTTGCTATACATACGTTACTGTGGTATTTGTTGAGATTTCCATTACCTGGTAATTGGTCAGGTCAGGCAGAGGTACAGGTTATTGGGGAGGGGGAACCTTCTCCTCACTGGGGGGATGGCTGAGGGTGGGGGAAGCCCTCTTCCAGGGGTCTGGGCTTCATCCTCTGATGAGGCCCGGTCCTGGACATATGCTTGGCCTTTGGAAATGAACACACAAGACAACATTTATTCTGAATTAAACATTTATTTTAAGTTAATGAGTGCAAATTCAACACAGGCCCAAGAGGTGGAGGAATGGAAAGTTCACAAAATTCTTACTTAATTCTTCTTTGAGGCCTTTCAATGGCTTCCGCCTCAGACTGGAGGTCTGTCTGCTCCTCAGCAAGAGGGAGCTTCCTCCTCGCCTCATTAAGTCATCTGTGTTCACAACAGAGTACATTTTCATGTTGTGTCACTTTCTTAATTATCTTTATTAAATATACTGCTCCTGCCCGCTCCCGCTGAATTTCTGACCATTACCGCCTGCAACCGCAACGTGTGTGTAACACTCCCGCACCCGCTGTGTGCATGTCTACTCCCGCCCGCAACCGCAAAACTCTGAGAAATTATTACCTCACAATAAAAGACATGTATTGAGTTTGTGTCCTCTCTGGTCCTGGGGAAAACGTCATTTTGTAGGCTATACCAGGGGTCGGCAACCCGCGGCTCTTCTATCCATCTGGTGCGGCTCTCTGTGCTTGTAAAATAATGGATATTTAAATAAAATGCTTTATATTTTACTGAATTAATGTTATATCTGTAAGTCAATTCTAAATGTAAACATTGTCTGCGTAAACCTGAACAGTTCCAACCCAGTCTTACTGGGAGACCGGGTTGACGGGTCACGCTTGTGCGTAATTGGCATTTTCTGAGCTGAAGAGGACATGAGATTCTGAGCTTCTCCTCAGACAGGCTCAGGGATGCGTTGCCACATTGGAGACAGGAACAAGCACTATTCAGCCAAAGTTTCATAATCAGGGAACATTTTCTGACCTTCCCGCATGCGCTCTGGTTCTGCGACACGCTCCAAGCCCCTCTCCACATCTTCAGCTCGCTGTGCACCTTATGTATGCGCTGACAGCGAGCTGCGCTGAGCGGTGTCCAGCTCAGATGTTCAGATGGGAATCTTTTCTCGGGTGATTTAGCTACATCTGCAATAAAATGTCAGTTCGTCTGCATGCGTATTCTTTCTATTCTTTCTCCGTCAAAATAAACGGTCAAATACGGGAAATATCCGGTCAACACAACACAAGCCCTGCTTTTAACTGTTTTGTTTTCTTGTGAAAATTGTTGGAAAGAGATTAAATTTAACTTGATTAACAAGAGCCAGTGCGCCGTTATCTCCGTGACTGGAAATGAGGGAAAAACAAATTGATTGGATCCTGCACGTCTTTTAACACATTGGTCAGGATTGACGCACTTTGTTTTCATTTAGTTTTTAACCCTTTAACGCCGATGCGTCTCCAGGATCACCGGTGACGCATTGGCACATGTTATTTCAAACAACTCGCTACTTAAACTATAAAATTCTTTAAAAAAAAACCTAAAGGAGCTACTGTGTGGTGCTTAAAGGGATAATGAAATCAAGGCCGTTTCATATTCTATTCTCCTCTGTAATCAGGAAGTGATCGAAGTCACTTTTCTGAGACCTGAATGAGAAATATTAACACAATCGGAGAAACTGCTCCAAATGTCTGACTTGCCTTGCTTTGGTTTTTGTGTCATAAAGACCTTGTTTCAGCTTCTTTTCAACATCAGTTGCCGACTCCATCATACTCATCCCAATCCAGCCGACCGTTCCTGCCCGCAGCAAAATTCACACCGCCCTCCCCCGCAAGATTTGTGTTGGGTACCGCGGGACCCAATCCCGATGCAGCCCTCTACCACCCGTTACAGTCTGCTGCAGCCGCAGCGAACCGCGTGACCCTTTGGCGAAGCCACTCGGTCGTATATAGACGCTGGTTCCGTTAGCTGTAGATTAGCCACAGTTAGCATCTGTATGTCATCTAAACAGCGGCACAGCCACTATCTACTAGCAGAAACCAAGCCATTAGTTCTGGAACCCGGAACGAGGCCGAATATCACATTTTGCTAAGACAAACAATACAAACCTAAAACAAAACTATAGCAAACAAAAAGGTAGGATTCAAGAAGAAATAGTACTCACCTCTGTCGTGATACTGGAGAAATGAACAAATTAGTCCTGATTCCCGGTCTTCGATCACTATTTTTCCCGCCATTTGTTGAGTTTTATGGCTTGCCAAAATAACCCCATAGCACACCTGCAGAAGTCACAGACGCTGTCCCGCTCTCTTCTGGCTACCCAGAATATGCCATAATAGCCAGCCGCCTAATTTTCTATTATGGCAAACCATAATTATGCCACGGTTAAAACAGAAACACTCGCTGACGTAATTGTCTATAATGGGAACCCAAAATTATGCCACATTTAAACCAAAATACTTTTTCGAACATTTTTGTGCCAGAAGGATGCCAAAATGCCCAATTAATGCCAAAATAAAACCAAAATAAAACCAAAATGTTTGCTATCTGGGAAGGATCGGGTCACTAAATATTCTGTTTCGATTGTTTAAACCAGTCCAGGAAACTACCCGAACCGGTCCAGTAGCGGGCCAGAGCGGGACCCCTTCTGTTGTGGGTCCAGAGATTTTTGGTCTGGGCGGAGCCAAAGCGTAAAAGGTCCAGAGTCCTCTGATTGGGGGAGAAATTACGTAACTACCCGCGACAATCCCAGGGGATGGAAAAAGAAGTGAGTCGAGTTCCAGTGTTTGTTTGGCTGTACTTCTTGTGTGTGAAAATGCCTGCAAGTAATAGCTTTTGGTCCAATGCGGAGCTTCAAACGTTCCTCACCATCATCGGAGATAGCAACATTCAGGCCGAGCTGGATGGGATGATAAGAAATGAGAAAGTCTTCAAATAAGTTTCTCAGCGCATGGCAGCTGAAGGATTCCAGCGCACCTCCGAGCAGTGTCGTGCTAAGCTGAAAAAAATAAAAGCCCACTACAGAAAAGTTAAGGACAGCAACGGCCGTAGTGGGAATGGGCGAAGTACATGGAAGTGGTACGATGTGGTGGACGCTATTTATGGACACAGACCGTCAAACCGAGGCAGCGAAGGAGGCCTGGACTCAGCGACCAGTATCCTGGAGTCACTCATAAACCCTGTTGGTAAGCATTTCTTTTGTTGTCTTTTTAGCTCTGCAGGCCATTCATTGCAGCACCAAAAACACTGAATAATAGCAGCAGCTATTTAAGAAATGCTCAGCAAGTAAAGGATTTAGCCCCTCATGTTAACTAGCCTTAGCATCCCCTTGTGTTTATGCTAACCTTCATTTAGCATTCCCCCGTGTTTCTTAACACGCTGTTCGCGATATAAGCCTTTCATGTTTAGCATGTCCTTGTTGAGTACATGAGGCTGGAGCGGAGTTTGCCTTTCTTGTTAGCGTCTCATTGTTTAAAACATGGGAAATTCGGTTAGCCTTTCACGTTAGCATCTCAGTGTTGCTAGCATCTCATTGTTTTATACAGCTGAGCACGCACAGTGAGAAGAAGCGAGCTGATCTAATATTATAAATATCCCAAAAGTCGTGCCAGCAGTGTTTTTCGCCTAGAGTGGACTTTTAACAAGTATATATTTTTCGGATGAATAAGAATATAACATTAAATTGCAATTAATCTGTACGTCACTGGCGAATTACTGCCATCTAGTGGACACGTTCCAAATGACAAAATGGCCTTAAATCATAGCAGTTTTATTAAGTTTACTATATGCCTATATGCTCTTTTGCTGTAAAAATATTGTGCTTTTCTTACCGATTTATTTCGTGACCTTTTCTTACTGACTAATTTTTTGATCTGTGTTTTTCAGACACATCTGAAGCGGAAAACACTCCCTCTTCAGAGGAACCATCCACTTCCTCAAGTAGCACTCCAGGACCTTCTGTGCCACCATCACCTCTGTCCGTACCTTCTGTGCCACCATCGCCTCGGCCAGTTCCATCGCCACCACCATCACCTCTGTCCACTACCACTCGAGAGGAACATCTACCATGTCGTCGACGCACAGGTAGTGTCTGACCATTCTAAAAATTGCTTTGTGCATAAACAAAACTGACAAGTTCACTGGACAACTGACATTTTGATATCCATATAAACACAAATGTAATTGTCAATGTTGTTGTTTCCAGGTGACCGAAGACGGCGATTGGAAGCACGGACACAGGTGATATTTGATGAGTTGCAGATCGCAGATGGCAGGCAGATGGACAGAATGGAAGGCATAAGCCGGGAGCAGGTTAACTGGATGCAACAAGACGCAGCAGCATCAAGACAACATGAATTACAGATCGCAGAGCGATATTTTGAACATTTGGGTGCCCTAAATGCTGTTCTTGGACTGGTCGCACAAAGAATGGGCAGCTCCTCTGACTTCCTGCCACCACCCAGGCAGTAAGGTGCTATGTATTTGTCCCGTAATTTTTTTTGTCCGTCTGTCCTTTTTATCAATAAATTTTCAAAGAAAAACAAGGTGTGCATGAATTGTCTTAAAAATTTTTGCTCGCAAATTTACGTTTACATAATAAATGTAGATTACATTACAGCCCACCTTAAATATATGTTAAAATGAAAAGGTGCAACAGTTCGTTAACAGTAAAATGGTGTACTTTATTAAGTTCTGAAAATAAAACAAACATTTCAGTTCAAACTACAGGCTTCGAACAGTTAAAAGTGCCAAAACAATAAACAAAGTAAATGGAAAGAAAAAACACAAACTGAGGTCAGCGGGTGAAGTGTCGCATCAGAGCTTCACGCACATCACTGCCCTCCTCTGCAACTTCCTGCATATTTGCAACCACTGGTTCATCAGCAGGTGCGTCACATTCTACATATTCCTCCCCATGGCTCTCACAGATATTGTGAAGCACACAACAGGTCAGCACCATGTGTTTAAGAAGCTCTACATCACTGTCGTTTCTCTTCAGAAGACATCGCCACCTACCCTTTAGCCTCCCAAATGCATTTTCGACCACAACTCTGGCTCTGGACGTTTTCCTGTTGTACGCCTGTTGTTCAGCAGTGAGACGACCGTTGTCAGAAAATGGTTTTAGGAGCCAGTTCTGCAGAGGATAGGCAGAGTCCCCGAGCACATAAAAGCCTACATTTACTCCCTCAATGTTCTTGGTACTAGTTGGGTGCAGTTGTCCATGAGCAACCAAGTCCCAAAATGTGGACAATCGCAGCACACGGGCATCATGCAAGCTACCTGGCTGACCTGCATTAACATTCCAGAACATGCCTCTGCCATCCACAATGCCCTGGAGGATTATGGAATGCCAACCTTTCCTATTGAAGTAGTCTGTGTGGAATCCCTGTGGTGCGATTATTGGGATATGGGAACCATCGATGGCACCCACACACTGAGGAACCCCCCACCTGGTCTCAAAATAGTCAGCCATTTCCTGTAGCTTTTGCAGAGTTGGAAAAGCAATAACCTCGGCAAGCAAAAGTTTACAGACAGCCTTACAGAAGTCCTGCACACAGCGGCACACAGAGGTCGTGCTGACACCAAAAAGAAGCCCGATGCTCCTGTATTCACTGTTAGTTGCAAGCTTCCACAGTGCAATTGCAACTCTTTTCCTGAGTGGCACGCAGGCTCTGAAGTTGGTGTTCCTCTTCTGCATGGCTGGACGGAGCTTGGAACAAAGATATGAAAAGGTCTCTTCTGACATTCTGAAATGAGCTATCCAATCTGACGGAGTGAAGTTTGGCATGGTCACATCCCAGAAGGCGCTGGCACGGCTGAAGGCCCACACAGTTGGTTGCCGTCGCTGATTCAAAAGAGCCAACTAAAAAAAAAAAACAGTCATAACACAGTAAAAGTAAAAAGAATAGTGCTGTGAAAAAGATTGAAACAGTATGGTTATAGACATAAAGTTCACATCAATAGAATTTGTTTAAGGTTAAAATAACAGCTGTTCTTTATGGCACTACCAGTGACTGGTTATGTTTTGTTCACTTTATAAAATGCACAAATGTGGTATTGCTTGTAATTACCTATATAATTAATTATAATAATTTCAGTACAGCTGCACAACTTATCTATGACATGCCCAGGAAGTAAAGAGTGAAGGATTCAGGCCCTCCTGTTGACTAGCATCACCATGAGTGCAGAAGCTGTTTGAAACTTAGTTAGGTGTTGGCCTTTCATGTTTAGCATGTCTTAAATGACCAATATACAACCAAACCATTTGATTTTGGTGCTTTTTTTTTTTTTGTTTTTTGATAGTTGCCCTAGACACCCCTTCAGAGATTATAACGACATGTATTACAGCATTAGAAGTTACTTACCACCTGGCGCCTCCGTCTTTGTCTCAACAGTAGAAAGTTATGCCTCGTGTCCGATATTAATTTCAGAAAGCGTCGTCGCCTTTCAGCTGCCCTCCTCCTCGATGCGCACAGCATAGCTCTAAACGCTATCGTGATGTGGGTGTAAAGAATATACCAAACACCAAGAACAGAAAGAACGCGCTGGTGACTGGACTCCATTGTTGTTGTGTTTTGGCGCGATCTCGTCGCGCTGTGTGACGTTAAGGCACACATCGCGCGTGACGCATTACGCTACCCCGCCTAGTTACTGGAGCCTGGAATGTGATAGAAACGCTTGCCAGAAAACTTCTAGACCCATACCGGTACATACCGGTCCATAATACCCAGACCTGACCGTCCCAGACCAGGCGATGGAAAAGAGCTATAGGTGGCCTATGGCACGCCTGGAGCAGGAGCTTCCAAAAGTGAAAGATGCTAAGTACTTTTCCACCCTTGACATTGCGTCTGGATTTTGGACAATTCCCGTCCACGAATCGGACCAACACAAACTTGCTTTCTCCTTTGCCAACCGGCAGTACACCTTCACCCGGTGTCCTTTTGGTTATTCCAACTCGCCAGCTGAGTTCAACATCTTCTTGAACAAGGCCTGCCCCGATGCTCGAGAGCGTGGGACACTCATCTATGTCGACGACATTCTTATTCGTCGGCGCACGTTGGATGACCACCTGGCCGAGCTGGACCATGTCATGGGTCAGCTCGCGGCGGCGGGTGCGAAGATCTCTCTCGCCAAGGGACAGTGGTGCAGGTCGCAAGTTCAGTATGTTGGCCTCCTTGTGGGACCACAGGGAGTGCTGCCTCAGCTTGGCAGGATTCAGGGTGTTGCCACCATCACACCTCCGACGAACGTCTCCGAACTTTGCAGCTTCTTGGGGGTCTGCAACTACTCGCGTCAGTTCGTGGAACATTACGCTGAGTTGGCACGACCTCTGACTAATCTGTTGAAGAAGGATGTGGCGTTCGAGTGGGCGGAGCAGCACCAGCAGGCCATGGATGACCTGAAGGCCGCGATGTGCTCGGCTCCGTGCTTGGCGCTCCCCGACTGTGACAAGGAGTTCCACCTTGAGGTTGGTTTCTCAGCTCACTGTTTGAGTGCTGGTCTCTAGCAGATTCATGACTGCGACAGGCGTGTCGTAGCCTATGCTAGTAAGCTCTTGACTGGACCTGAGTTGAAATACTCGGACTGTGAAAAGGCTTTGCTTTCCACCATGTGGGCAGTTAAGTACTTTGCGAACTACATTGGCGGACAGAAAATCATCATTGAGACACAGCACCAGCCTGTGACCTTCCTTAACAGTCAGCGCATCAGAGATGGTGTGGTGACCAATTCGCGGATCGCGTCATGGCTGCTGGCTCTTCAAAGCTTCGACATCGAGGTGTGCTACGCCCAGAACCGACGTAGCCCTCTTGGCATGGGTTTGGCTGCGTGCCGACACTGCTCGGACGACGCCATCGCGTCAGTCCCGCCAGCCAGGCCCCCTCAGACTCTTCTAAACCACCACTACTACGACCAGAACCTGGGAACTCACCTGCTTGCAGCATTCTCGTTCGCACAGGCATCTCTGGAAAAGTCGGCTGAAGGCAGAAAAACTTATTACGATAAGAAAGCCTCACATTCCGAACTCGAGGTGGGTGATGGGGCCTGGTACTACATTTTAGCTCCCAAAACGGGTGGCGTTAAGGGGAAGCTGGCTAAGAAACTTTTGCCCAAATGGTCGGGTCCATACCTGATTACAGATAAGATATCTCCGGTCGTGTATCAGATCAAGATCGCCGACAAAAACAAGGCGCCCGTCTACAAATGGGTACACAGGGACCATATCAAACTGCACAAGGGTCCCACAGATTTGGCCGATACCGACAACAACAATCCACCGACTTCAAAAGGGGAATGATAAATACGTCCCGTTGGTTCCACAGATTTCTATCTCTGATAACACAAATTTGTTTGTTTGTGAGTGTGCATGGTTGTCTTTCATGTTATACATCACGTGCAGACTTAAGGTGTGTTGAGACGGACGTGCTGTGGGCTCCTGGAGTCAGGTAAACGGCCAGGTAACAGTGAGTGGGTTAGGCCACATAGTACTGTTGTCCAAATTTTTTATTTTTTTTAATCTTTACTAATCACAATTCCTTAGTGGTACATTAACATGAACATGATTACTAACCACTGATTTACATTTTAGTACTGATTTACATTTCTGTTTTTTTATAGTACCTTTGACCAGTTGATTTTAACAGTGAATATTATGTTTGTGATTATCAATTCTTTGATTTCTCCTACGGGGCTATAACCAATTTTGCCCCTGTCCTGACAGCGTGTGTTTACAGTGAGGATTCACTGATACCAGTTAGGGTTTCTTTCATTTTTCTGCTTCTCGCATCATCCTTTTTGCACCTAACACAGACAGGGCTGCATCCATTTCTTCACTTCATGGGTAATTACACATAGAACTAACACATAGTACAAAAGGCACTCATAGAGTTAGGTTTTTATTATTTTTTTATTTCTTTGATGACATGAAATGCACTTTTGTCGTGTCTACATTGAAGTGCCTACACTGTGCTCTCTCTCCTCTGCTGAGATTGTGAGGATCCTGCTTCCTGGGGGTGGATCCGCGACTCGTCATCTGCATCGACTACTCCTGAGGGTGCTCCGGCTCGTTGGCCTTGGACGACTGTGGTTCCGGCATGGCTGCTGGGACACCTCATTTGTTGGGATTACTGTCAACTGCTCTTCCCTTTTTGTGGATTACTGTGGAGTACTCTTTCGAAGTTCAATTTTTATTTGGAATATTACACTACCTGCGGATACAACAATCGATTTTTAATTTGAATACTACCCTGTTCGTGGATACGTACAAGATTTGCTCCTGCTTTGCTTTATTGCCCGTGAGGATATAAAGTTGCTGTTGCTTCGTTTATGGCTTCCATGGGGAATAATTAATAACCTGCTGACTTGTGTTCTTCCTGAGGAGTATGCGAGACTGTTCTTCGGCGTGGGGTTCGTACCTCACCACAGATGGCTGTTCCCTTGGGATCGCATCCTGTTCTGTTGTCAAGATTCTT